TGTGCATATATGCATATAAATTCTTTGGTTACTCTCTCCCCCTCCAACCCCTCTCCCCCCTCCCTCTGACATTTCGTCAGTCTCAACTATGCTTCCATGACATTGAATCTATTCTGCTCATCAGTTTATTAAGTTCTTTAGATTCCACGTATAAGCGAGATCATGTGATATTTTTCTTTCTCTGCCTGGCTTATTTCACTTAGCATAATATTCTCCAGGACCATCCATACTGTCCCAAAGGGTACGAGATTCTTCTTCTTTACAGCTGCGTAGTATTCCTATATCTTTATTGATTTCAGAGAGAGGAAAGGAAAGGGAGAGAGAGAGATAGAAACATCAATGATGAGAGAGTCATTGATCAAGCCTGCAACCCGGGCATGTGCCCTGACCAGGAATCGAACACCGATTGCCTGGATCCCAGGTCGACACTCAACCGCTGAGCCACGCCCGCTGGGCAGTATTCTGTTCTTTAGCATCAAGCCCAACCTGCACTTAATGGGAGGATGTTACCTTTGTGCGAAAACCAGGGCCGGGGTGGGGCTCACTGAGGGCTATCGTAGAGGCTGCCTACCACGGCTGGTCTCCTAACATGATACACATGCTGTGCGGTACTCAGCTGAGATTGAAGGTGTACGTTGGAAGACCAGAGTTCTCTCCTGCAGCCCTCTCCTCCCTGGCACTCTGCTCTGTGAACTCTAGCTGTGAGCTCTAGCATAATTGAGACTCTCCGGAGTCTCAGTTGTGTCTCATCAACTCAGAGAGATCGCTTGGGTTTCCCTTCCCTGCACCATATCCCAGAAAATGTCCAGTCAGTAAGCTGGGGCAATAGTGAGGCTCACACCCTTTGTTTTCTACCTTTCAAGACTGTGGCCAATGTCTTGAAAATCATTTTTTTATACATTTAGCCTGATATTTTAGTAGTTTCAGGAGGAAGAGTGAATCTAGTCTATATTAGTCCATTTGGTCGAAAGTGGAAGTCTCGATCTATGTTTCTTTATAGCTGAACTTCATTCTATTGTATGGATATACCGTAATTAATTAATCAAATCACCTTTTACAGATATATTGAGTTATTTCCAAATTTTCATTTTTATCCTACTATGGTGAATTTCCTGGTGTGTTTACCTTTGCATACTTGTGCAAGGAAACATATTGGATAAATTCTTAGAACATTGAGTCAAATCATTGATCCAGTGTGTACTGGCTATGCACATTAAAAATATTGGTAGATATTGCCAACATGCCTTCTAAAGAGGTTATACTCAGGCCTTTTTATATGTGCTCTGTTAATCCAGGCCCTTCTCCTCTGTAGTTTAGACTTACTTCTATTACCTTTAACTTTAACATTTGATTCTGATACTTGGAGACCTATTTTAAAAATCATCATTGAGGTTTTTCATACAATAAAATGCACATATCTAAAATGTGTAGTTCAGTTAATTTTGAGAAACATATCAGGATCAAATTATAGGGTCCATCACCCCAAAGAGTTTCCTTGTGCCCCTTGCCAGTTAATTCCTACCCTTCACCCCTGGTTCTAGGCAGCCAGCAATCTTCTTCCTATCCTTATAGGTAGCATTTGTCTTTCCTAGGGTTTTATGTAAATGGAATCACACCGCATGTGCTGTTTTGCATCTGGCTCTTTTCACTCAGAGTAGTGTTTTTGAGTAGTTGGTTCACTCCTTTTTATTTCTGAGTAGTATTCTCTTGAAGAACTTTCCCCCCCGCCCCCTCAGGGCAAGGGAGCTGAGCCACCTAGTTGCCATCAGGTTTGCCTGCAGTACCTATTAGGCTTTGGTGAATTCCTCAAGTTCTTGAGATACCCAAAATGTCTTGAGGTTCCTTCCTTGCTTGGAGAACTTCTTAATAACTCTCATGAAGGGCCTATTATGTGCTGGACACTGTGCTAGGTGCATAGCACATACTTTTGTCTGTGATTCTTACAATTATCTTATGAGGGTTCCAAGAGATTATGTGACTTGTTCAAGGTTCTATGGCTGGTTGTCCATTTATCGTTTATTGCTACCCCTTCCCCCAATCCCAGTTTGAAAGCCCAGATAAATGTAATCTGCTAAAAGACATGAGCTTTGAGTCAGATAGACTGAGTTCAGATCCAAGCTTCAGCCTTTTCCTGGGTGACTTAACCTCTCTGCTGCTCATTTTACCTCTTAAATGAGGCCAGTGACATTTGTCTGGATGCAGTGGCTATAAAGGCTCTAGCTCGGGGCTTTACACAACTCAACAATTGTCCCTCTGACAATACATGGACCACAGTCTTGGGTTGTTTTTCCCCCTTCTATTTTTCTTAATTTCACTATGCACCAGATTAGCCAGGCAGGTGACTGTGATATACCTCCAACCTCCACCACCACACCCTCATCTGTGCAGAGACCCCAAATGCGCTTTCCTGTGCTTTCTCTAACAGAACCTTCTCCTGTGAAGAGACTTAAGGAATTCCAGATCAAATCATATCCTGTACAGGATTTTAGCTCTCTGAAACTTCAGCGTCTCCAGAAAGCCTAGGAACAAAAGGGGACCAGCTTCAGTAGGAAGATTAATACCCTAGGAAACAGTCTCCCGAAGACCTTGGGCCCAGAAGTAAAGTAAGTTCAGTTCTTGGCACATAGAGGGGTCCAGATTCTGGTTGAAAAGGACAATATAACTTACAGGGCAGAATGTCAGGGATGTTGGGAAGGGGCCGAGATAGCAGGTGCAGCTCAACCCCAAAGGTTGAGGGGTGTGGGGAAGGCAGCCTGTGTGGTGCTGGGTTTGATGTCCAGGAGCTGCATTTTCTGCCTTCTCTGCCTCTAACTCTCAGGGCCACTTTTAGGTGGTCAGCTGCTTCCTTTCTCAAGGAACCCATTTGAGGAAGAAGGGGCAGGACAGGTGTTAAAGCTCTGACACCCTGTCTGTGTGTTGCTGGGCCTTGAGCCTGTTCAGAACATTCTAACCATCCAAGGGAGGCAGTAGATTAGAGAGTGGGCTTAGCAGTCAGTACATCCCAGGTTCACATCCTGGCTTGGCCACTTATTGTAACTGTGTACCTGGGCAAGGAACTTGACCTCTGTAAGCCTTAGTTTCCTCATCTGTAGATAATAGTGTCTAAGTCTCGGGGTTGTTGCAAGCTAGCAATTAAGTGGATAATGATAACTATATCTAACACTTACGGGCTGGGCTACTCTACCTGGTACTAGCTTATCTAATTTAATCCTCACAAAAACCCTATGAGGTAAGTGTAAGTACTACTGTTATCACTCCCGTTTTTCAGGTGAGAAAACCAAGGTACAGAGAGAGATTAAGTTCCAGGTCACATATGTAGAAAGTGGCAGAGCCAGGATTTAAGCCCACGTAGCTTGCTAGCGCTAGTCTTGTTGTGTGGTACGATTGTCATGATGGGAACAAGGTGATGCACAGTGAGGGCTGCACTTTTGCCTCAGCCCAGGGGGCTGAGGAGCAGGAAAGGACACTCGGTGGGCACTGGCCTGCAGGCAGCTCAATGCTAGGCCCAGAGCAGCATAATAGCCTCCTCCCCACCATTAAATATGGAATAAAAATGTCACAGTGATACTGATAATCGCACCAATGTCACAATCTCCATATTGCCATAGTGCCACTGTCCTCGAGTCTTTTGCCTATGAACATTCCTGTGTGCTCGCTCCGTAATAAGCATCCCATGGCTTCTGGGTTTTTTTCCTCGGATGGATACTCTTTCTAAGGGATCTGGTGTTTGAAATCCCAATCCTAGTTCTTCTAAAGGTAGAGATGGAACATGCCCAGTTTCTCTGCTATAAATCAATAAGGGAAAAGAGACAGGTTGGGCCCAGAAATGAAAAATAAAGGACATGCTGGGCATGTGCCACTTGCGTACAAGTCCTGGGAGGGGGGGGGGTAGTGAAAATGGAAGCCTGACTTATTTATGTGTTGGGTGAGTTCAGCTATATTTTTAGCTGATGAACCCTCTATTTCCTGCCCCTAACCCAAAGAGCATCGTAGCTGCCTCTTCCTTCTACCTAGCTTGAGACCAAAGAAAGCACAACAGGATTGCCTGCATAAAATTAACCCCAACATGAACAAAGTACAGTCTCCAGGCTGCCCAGGGAAACCTGTTGTTGTAAACAAACAAAGCCATCTCTTCTCTGCCTTCCCGGCAAGGAAAAGAGCCTCAGCTTCTGTTGTGTCCCTGAAGGCACAGAGCTTACTCTTTGTCAAACAGTCCATTCCGTTTTCAGACGGCTCTGACATAGAAATTCCTTCCTCGTGTTGAGTATAAGTCAGCCAGCCTGGACTTCTCACCCAGCAGGCCTGGTTCAGCTGCGTGAAGTCGTCAGCTCCTTCTTGCACATAATAAATAGCCTTTAAGTGGTTAAGGGGGTCCTACCTTCTCTTCCAAGTCTCCCCTCTATTAAAGTTCTCTAATGTTTGACGCAGTCTCTCCCAGGGCTTGATTTTGAGTTTTATCACTTCTGGGAGAGGGGAGGGAAGATCTCCATGTGCAGTAGAGTTGGAGCTGATTATCCATGGCCTCATGAACTGGCTGTGTTACAAATGAGTTCTTTTTAACAAGTTGTCTAATTTCAGATCCAGGCATCCTCATCAGCTGGAGTGTCCCACGATCAATACCAAGCATGGTGATATCCCGAAGGAGGCTTCAGTGGGGGCCTACGTCAAGCTCCACACTGCAGAGGAAGGAGAAATCATAGTAAGTGTACAGAGAGCCTTGTTCACAATATAGTGTGTAACATGATGGGCTGGGAGTGTTAAGTAAGAGAGTAAAGGCTTAAAAACATCCTGCTCTATATGTGACGATATTAAGGAACATTATTGATTTTTTTAGATATGATAATTTAAAAGTTACCATATTATGATTATGGTTTTTTTTTTTTTAAGAGTTCTTATATTTAGGAGATACATGTCAAAATATTTACAAATAAAATATGACATCTGGGACTGGCTCTAAAATAACTTAAGAATGAGGCAAGGATGTCCCCTCACCACTCCCATTCAGCATTGTACTGGACATCCTAGCCACTGCATTAAGACAAGAAAGGAAATAAAACATACATAGATTGGGAAGGGAGAAATAAAGCTGTCTTTGTTTGCAGATGACATGCTTGTCTATGTAGACAATTTCAAAGAATAGAAACAAAGAAAGAACCCCCAAAACTCCTGAAGCTAGTAAATGATTATAGCGAAGTTGCAGGTATAAGGATGGGAGGGAGGAAGGAGGGAGAGAGAGAAAAAAACTTAGATGTGAGAGAAACATTGACCAGGGCTGGGGATCAGACCTGCAACCCAAGTATGTCCCTTGACCAGGAATTGAACCTGTGACCCTCAGTGGCTGGGCCAGTGCTCTAACCACTGAGCCACACCAGCCAGGGGGAACCTCTTCCTTTTATTCAGTAAAATTCTGCCTCCTGCAACTTTAACTCGCTCCCTGCCCAGCCCCCCTTGCCCATCCGCCAAGAACAAACCAGAAGGCATCCTCTTCCTTGCCATGTGATGGCCCCTAGGCATTTAAAGAATGCTGTTTTGTTTTTCATTCAGCACGTATGGGGCCAGGCACAGTGCCAGTGCCCTGCTACTTATTTTCTTATTCAGGCAAAACACCCGCCTTTCTTCAGCTAGTCTTCATGTGATGTGGTTTCCAGCCTTGCTTCAGTCCACTTCACTGCCGTCGGTCAGTTTCCCGTGAGGGGCTCTGGACTGAACACAGGCTGCCTGGGCCCATGACTGCAGCCTGGCACATGGCAAGGGGGAGGAGCTGGGGGTGCTTGGCACCCGGGGCAGAATGGAGGCACCAGAGGGCAGGGAAGGCATTGCCCCACTTGTAGATGGTGAGAGGAGCGGGAGGCTGTGTCAGATGGCACAAGAACAACAGGATGTATTCTGTAGGGGCCTGCCGTGCAGGAATAGGGGCCTTGGACTTGATTCTCTAGGAAGACCTGGCAGTCTTTGGGTGGGGCTTAGAGCAAGGACCTGACTGCTTCGTTCACCACACAGAGCCCAGTGCGTAGAAGGCTCCCCTCAATATCTGTTAATGGGATCCTTTGGATGAAAATGCTTGTGGATGCCTCATGCTGTGCCTTTGGTAAGACCCTGCTTTCCCGGCTTTCAAGGCCCTGGCTTCATTTGTGGAGGAATGAGCTGTCGCAGTTGTCACTGTGTTCACCTACCAGGACACAGGAGATCACACCTCCTCATCCTTGGGAGCAGGAGGTGGAGCTAGGCTGGACCTGGAAAAAGCAGAGCTTGGGTCCCTGAGTAGACCCAGGTTTTGCACCAGGAGGCGTTAGGGGAACCAGCTTCTCCAGGGACCAGGCAGGCCAAGGCCTCGAGATGGTCGAGATGGGCAGCCCAGGGCAGGAAGAAGAAGACACACCGCCGGGGAGGCGTCTTACTCTCATTTCGCTTGTGGTGGGCCTTGGGGAAGTCACTGTATTTCACTGAATCTGTGTCCTCACCAAAAGAGGAGATTCACCTGGGCGAGTTGCCAGCTGTAACATTCTGTGTTCTGCTTAAATATTCATTCAGCAGATATTTCTTGAGCATCTGCCATGCTCCAAGCATGGCACAAGGTCCCAGTGTCGGAGATCTAGTCTGGAATAGACAATATACACATAAATGAACAAACACATAGAAGGTTGCAAATTACTGTTAGGAAAAGAATAGAAAGCTGGGTTGGTGGGGTGGGGTGGGCTTCTCAAATAGGATGGTCAAGGAGGCTGCTCCGAGGAGGTGATACTTAAGCTGAGACCTGAATGAAGAAAAGAGCAAGCTGTGGATGACCTGAGGGAAGAATGTTCCAGATAAAGTANAGCTGAGACCTGAATGAAGAAAAGAGCAAGCTGTGGATGACCTGAGGGAAGAATGTTCCAGGTAAAGTAACAGCAAGTTCAGAGTCTGAGGTGGGAGAGAGCTTGGCATGTTGAGGGGGTTGGAAGGGACAGCAGCATGGCTAGAACAGAGTAAACAAGATGGGGACAGAGTGAAGCCAGGCAGAGAGCCCGGCAAGCCCAGGCCTTGCTGGCCACACTGAGTTTTATTCTATTCGGGTGCTTTGGGAAGCTATTTGAAGGGTCTAGGCAGAGAAGGGACTGACGCCCAGCGAGAGCGTTGGGGGGGGACTGGGGTGTGTAGGAGTGCCAGAAGACAGTGCTGCCCCTGGCGAGGCCCCGAACAGGTCACCGGGTTGAAATGCTGGCTTCACTTTCTGTTCTTAGGCAGGGTGCTTAACCTCTTTGCACCTGAGTTTCCTCATAGCGTAGTGGTTGAAAGCATGGGCTCTGAGGACGGGCCACCTGGGTTCCAGCCTGAGCTCTGGACAAGTTTCTGAACCTCAGCAGCATCGTCTATAAAAGAAGGATAACAGTAGAAGTCCCCTCGCGGGGCTGCTGAGGGGGCTGCACGAGTTAATCTACACGAGGTTACAGGAGGGGCTGGAATTTAGTGACCGCTCAGTGAACCTAGCTGGTGGCGTCATCACGTCACCACCATCGTCATTGTTGTTATGATTATTTATCACAAGGTGTATAACCTTTGGCAAGTAAGTTTCTTTTTCTGAGCCTCATTTTCCATGTTTGAGGATGATAATCCCTATCTCCTAGGGTGGTCGTGAGGATTAAATTTATATACCTATATCTATCTATATCACCTATATCTATATCTATAACCTATCTATATCTTTATTTATTTATTTATTTAAATTTATCTTTATTGTTGAAAGCACTATAGGTGTCCCATTTCCCCCCCAATTGACCCCCTCCACTTCGCTCCCACCCCCTCCCCAGGCCTTCACCCCGTTATTGACTGTGTCCATGGGTTATGCACATATGCATATAACTTCTCTGGTTAATCTCTTCCCACCCTCCACCCCCCTTCCCTCTTTCCTCTGAAATATGATCGTCTGTTGCATGTGTCAATGTCTCTGGATCTATTTAGTTCATCAGATTCTTTTGTTCATTAGCTTCTTGTTAAAGAAGACCCTTCAGCATTTCCTATAGTGCTGGCCTGGTGGTGATGAACTCCTTCAACTTTTTCTTATCTGTGAAGCTTTTCATCTGACCTTCAATTCTAAATGATAGCTTTGCTGGGTAGAGCAATCTTGGTTGTAGTTCCATGTTTTTCATGACTTTGAACATTTCTTGCCACTCCCTTCTGGCCTGCAAAGTTTCTGTTGAGAAATCAGCTGGCAGTCGTATGGGTGCTCCCTTGTAGGTAACGAATTGCTTTTCTCTTGCTGCTTTTAAGATTCTCTCTTTGTCTTTAACCTTTGGCATTTTAATGATGATGAGTCTTGCTGTGGGGGCTTTTTGGGTCCCTCTTGTTTGGGACCCTCGGTGTTCCCTGGACTTGTAAGTCTATTTCTTTCCCCAGGTAGGGGAAGTTTTCTGTCATTATTTTTTCAAATAGGTTTTCAATTTCTTGCTCTTTTTTCCCCTTCTGGCACCCTAATAAAATGAAGTGTTGGGCCTCTTGAAGTTGTCCCAGAGGCTCCTTATACTATCTTCATATTTCTGGATTCCTTTCTCTTTTTGCTCATCTGGTTGGGTGTTTTTTGTTTCCCCATGTTCCAAATTGCTGATATGATTCTCAGCATCCTCTACTGTTGATTCCCTGTATATTATTCTCCATTTCAGTTTGTGTAGCCTTCATTTCAAATTGATAATTTATTATGTTATTAATATTCTCAGATATTTCCCTAGTAGTCTGCTTAAACATCCTTATAAACAAAATTCTGAACTCTGTATCTGTTAGGTTGCTTGGGTCTATTTCATTTAGTTCCTCTTCTAGAGATTTCTTCTGTTCTTTCCTTTGTGAGATTTTTTTTGCCTCCACATTTTGGCTGCTTCCAGGTGTTTGTTTCTATGTATTAGGTAGAGCTGCTATGTCTCCTGGAATTTGTAGAGTGGCTTTGTGTAGTAGGTGTCCTGTAGGGTCCAGTGGCTCAGCCTCCCCAGTCACCTGAGCTGGGCCTTCTAGGTGCTCCCCTGTGTGGGCTGTGTGCACTGTCCTGTTGTAGTTGAGCCTTGGTTGCTGTTGGCATCACTGGGAGGAACTGACCCCCAGGCCAATCGGCTGTGAGGACCAGCAGCAAATACAGCCAGAGAGCTGCTGTGCTGGAGACACCCCTATGGAGCAGGATTTACTTCAGTGGAGCTTTGGTGTTCACCAAGTGCGCCCCTTGAGTGTGTCACTCGTGGATGTGGTAGGGTTGTAATCCAGCGTGGTCGAGTCTGACCACCAGGTGCACTGTCTCTGGGGCCTCCCGGGAGGTGCAAAGTCAGCCTGTGCCAGTGCCTTGCCCAGGGCCACCCAGCATGAGCTACACAGCAAACCGTAGTTGGCTGCTACTTGTGCTGGGCTTGGAGGTGCCCAGGAGAGGCCAAGCTATGAGCCAATGCAGCTGCCGCTAGTGCCAGGCCTGGGGCCGCTTATCAAGCCGTATGGGGCACGCTGCTGCTTGTTTGAGAGATTTTAGGAAAGTCCTAAGCATGAGGCTCGAGAGGCCACTTGCACAGAAAAGCCCCTGGAAATGGCCTGGATGAGCTGCAGGTGGGGAGGGGCGGGGCCTCCGGGAATCACGGGGCGGGGCCAAAGGTGTGAGTCAGGTGCTGGCGATTCAAACATGGCGCCTGCCTGCCGGCTGTGTGCGGGGAGGACTCGCCAAAGGAGCCATGGCCTCCGCCAGCCCTTCTGCCTGGGAGGAAGCCGCCCCTCCAGCTCCCGCCCGGATTCCAGGCAGGTTAGTTCCTCCCCGAGTGTCCCGGGTCCTTTCAGGCTGCTGCCCGGCGCTGGGCTCAGAGGGAGCGTCCGAGTGAGTCTGTGCCGGGCCCTTTAACAGGAGCTGCTGAGGCTTCTGCAGCCACCATGACCCTCAGGGACAGTCCCCGCTGGTTTCACAGCCCGAATTGTGGCGACTTCTTTTCCCGGCCCTAGAGCTCTGGGCTGGGGGCTGCTGTGGGGCTGGGACCCCTCACTCCTCCAGGAAACCTCCGCCTCCGAGATTCCCTCCCGGGTTTACCCCGCGGCACCGGGTGTGGGCCCGCGGCTGCGTCTCCAGATCCAGCCCCGATTCGCCCGCGTCTCTGCCCCTCCTACTGGTCTCGGTGCTTCTTCAGTTCTCTGGTTGTGGGGCTTCTGTGCAGCCAGATCTCAGAAGGCTCTGAGCGATGGTGGTTCTGTGTTTTAGTTGTGATTTTGATATGGCTGCGGAAGGCGGCAGGGACCGCGGTTACCTGCGCTGCCATCTTTTTTCACTCCTCTATATCTTTATTTACCATATAGTAGGAGCTGGCTAAAGGGCAGCCATTCTGGTTTCTGTGCAAGGTCTGGCACTACAGAAGGGCCTTCATGCCACTGTACTGAGCACAATTGATATGGAGGTGCTTTGTGTCTCCCAGAACATCCTTACACATGCCATCTTGTTTGGACCTTCAACAGTTTCCTAAGAAAGATAACCTATCTCCATTCCAGTCTTACCAAGGAGAGACAAGGCCAGGGCTTAGAGCACCGAAGAGTTTGTGGATGGTCATACTTCAAGGTCTAGAACCCAAATGGTGGTGGCGGTGGGGTGCTCTCCCAAATCCCACTTCGCATCTTTCAAATTCAGAATCCTTCAGAGACTTGTGGGCAGGTATTTTCACCTCTGTTTCACAGATGAGCAAACAATGGCTCGGGGAGATGTACTTGCCCAAAGTCATATAACAAATAAACAATTAGAACTTCCTTCTGAAGCCAGGATTATTCCCAATCCCTGATGGCCTTAGAGCAGACCTCTTGGTTTATGGCCCTTTTTCTTCTTAAGCCCAAGACAGCAGGCTCCCCTCCTTGCCTGAGTCTTAATAGCTGAGAGGCTGAGGGGTGAGCATTGGATTGACAGTTCAGCAACAAGGGATTTGCCCTGACTCAGGGTGTCTCCTTAAAAGGCGGTGGCACGCTCTGTAAAACAAGCAGGTATGCCTGTTGACCTCCATCTCCCTTCCCTATATAACCAAATACGAATCCATGCCAGGGAGCCAAAAGAGCCCATAAGCTACAGAGAGGAGGTCAGTGGCCTCCAAAGTCTATGCGAGATGGAAGAAGAACTGAGGCTCAGTGGGGACATGCATTTGTGAGCAAAGGCCTGCAGAAAAGGTTTAGGGGTGTGTGGCTGCGAAAGGGAAGATCTAGAAGAGGAGCCTAACTGATTTTTGTCATAGTCCCAAGGAAGAGAAAATGGGCTGGCTTGGCACAAGGAAGAGTTGAGGTTGGATATTGGGGGGAACCCATAAAGTGCCATCCCGTGGAGAGTGACTGTGTGAGTGTGATACTGGGAGAGAGCTTGCTGCCTGCAGGTAGGACGTGGGCAAAGTGCCTTGAGGGCCTTTCTCATTTGAGGAGCCGGAGGTTCTTTGTCATTTAGCAAAAGGAGCCCTGGACTTCTCCCCATCATTTGCGAATGACCCTGATGGATTCACTTCCTGTTTGGGGCCTCGTTTTCCCATCTGGAACATCCACGGGAGAAGTGGATGGTCTCTGAGGTCAACTTTCTGGGCTTTTTCCCTCCAGGGACTTCACCAGACCCTCCTCCCAGACAACCAACAAGACACACGGCCCTTCGTCCTCACGAGCCTGGGAACTGAGTTGATAATGGTGAGGAAAGACAAATTTTGTGAACTGATGGTCAGCGAGGCAACAGAGAAGTTGTCCACGTTCAAGATGGGGTACCCCAGGTCAGTGCTGGATATGTGTATACACCCCGCCAGATCAAATGAGCATATCTTCACCTGTTACTTTACTAAGAGAAAGAGAAAAGATGATAATACCTGATGCTGACAAGGGTGGGACGAAACTGGTAGCTGTGCCTACACTCTAAATTGGCTCAGTCCTTTGGATAATAATTTTAGCATTATGTGTCAAGTGCCATAAAACTGTTCCTACTTTTGGAAGCAATGGTCCTTCTGTGAATTTATCTTTATTTACCCAAGTTCTGGGAAAAGCTGCACGCATCAGGATGTTCATAGCAGTCATGTTCATAATAGAGGGAAAACCGCCCCCACCCCCCACGTGTTACGCTAAGGGGATAGTTTAAAAAACTGTGGTCCATTCCCATGATAGAATATAACCGTCTCATTAAAATTATAAGTTTAATGGCTCTAATAGCACAAGGGTAAAATGGATGATATAATGGTAATAAAAAGGACAGGGTACAAAATTACGTGTGTACTATGACTATCCCTTTGTAAAACATAAGAGAAAAATCTAGAAGGAAATAAGCAAGCATGATAATTGCTGTGGTATGGCCAAATTTGTAGTTGTCCTTCTCTCTGGAAGATGGGACTGAGGGACTTCCTAGTTACAGTTACAGTGGTACCTCGGTTTTCAAATGTTTCCGATGAAGCATTTCAGTCTACGAACGCCGTAAACTTGGAAGCAAATGCTTCGGTTTCGAACATGCCTCGGAAGTCGGACATGCCACAGTCGGCTTCCACTGAGGGCAGGATCCTGAGGCCCAGCTGTTGGTGGTTCGTCTCGGTTTTCGAACGTTTCCGAACTCCAATGGTCTTCTGGAACGGATGACATTCGAAAACCGAGGCACCACTGTACATATTCCGCTCATGTTTGTTTTTGCTGTGAGCATGTGTTGCTTTTATAATGTTTTACCCAGGTTACGCGAGATTAATTTACACAGAGACCAAATTGAGTGTTTGGAGATTTATTTAGCCGCCGGCGGTGGCTTACAAGTGGGCTCATGCCCTAAACAAACTCACAGCCCTGAACAGTCTTTGCAGGGAGAATATAAACGCAGAAAAACCAAACAAACTATATTCTGTTTGGTTAAGGGGGAGCAGTTCGGTCGAGGGGACACAGGTGGTGGAACTAGCAAAGGAGTATACAGAAGCTAAGATAAGCATTAATTAACTTTCTACAGTTATCTATCCTCTTGAATTTTGTGGGCTGCACTCCTTTACACAGCGCCAGGAAAGGAGAAGAGGTCATTGCTTCTACATAATAAATTTTGTTGCTCTTGTTTATCTTAAAGTAGCGGTTGTAAGGGTAGAAGGTGGGGTGCTGTACTTCAATAATGAGAGGAGAAGATATANAAGGTGGGGTGCTGTACTTCAGTAATGAGGGGAGAAGATATACTTGGTAAAAGCTGTGCTGAGGTAGTGACATCTAAGTGGATTTCCCCCGGTATTCTCCACGTTTGCCTGCAGTGATGATATATTATTTTCATAATTTAAAAAGATAAATACCTATTTTGAAAGATTCAGTAAAAAATTGTTTTTTACTTTTCCCTAGTTTTCAAATTCTCCAGAGTGAATACTTTTATAATGTAAAAGAAAATCCTTTATTTTTTTATGTAAAAATTAATCTGTGGCCCACACCAGGTCACAAAACTGTTTTGTTTTCACACTCTGTTACTAAATAGTATTTGAGTGTATTTTCTTTAAGAATATATATGTAATATAAATAACATGTTAATTTTTATATCCATATATTGCTATACTAATATATTGCATACATTATAAACATAAAAAATAGATCTGTAAAGATAATAAGACAAAGATAAATACGAATGAAGTCCTGCTGTTTTCTTCACATATCCCTACTGCTTCATCTTACTCGCCACCCTGGGTGACATGTCCCCACTGCCACTTTGGGACCCCCGGCCTAGACTCCTGCAAGTCTCACCACTGGTAACACTGCCTCAGTCTCCTCCTCACCAGGCCCTTTCTGCATACTGTGCTCTTGCTAAAACCAAATCTGGCCATATTACACTCCTGCTTAAAACCTTTCAGTGGTATCTCACCGCCTGTAGTTACGGTGCAGACTCAATGCCACAAGAATGGCTGTTCATAGTGTGGCTCCTCAGCTCCCCTGCAGCGCCTCCTGCCACCTCTCGCCCACTACAGCAACCCAGGCAGATTGCCTCCTGGCCCCTCCACATGCTCGCCTTTGCCACTGTAGGCCTTTCTGCCTGAAATGCCGCTCCCCCGCCAGTCCTGTCCCTCTTTTTCTAATAAATTCTCGCTCACTCTTTAAGACCCACCCCCTCCGACAGCTTTCCTGACTGGCCCTGGCTGGGGCGAGGGCCCCTTCTGCATACTCATCGTGCTCCATCGTGGCTCCACCATTCACCGTACACATTGTGTTACAGCTGTTGGCAGTGGTGTCGTTTGTATAGTTGTTTCCCAGTCACTTGATTAATTGCTTCATGAAGGCAGGGATTGGGCTTTATCTGTCTTTCATCTCTACCACCTGTTCAGTACCTGGTAGATGCTCAATAAATGTTGACTGGATGGGGAATACTCATTGGGGAAAACTAGAAAATGCTGGGCTTTTCTTTTTTAATTTTTAATTTTTTTGTTAATTCTTACCTGAGGATATTTTTTCCATTGATCTTCAAAAGACAGCGAAAGGGAGGGGGATAGACAGAGAGAGACACATCGATTGGTCGCCTCCCACACACGCCCCAACCCAGACCAGGGATTGAGCCTGGCACCAAGGTATGTGCCCTTGACTGGGAATCGAACCTGCGACCCTTCAGTCTGCAGTCTGTAGGGGACAGGGAGGAGCTGGTGTGGGACCCTCAGCATCTGTGCCTTACCTTTAGCGATGACGATATGTGCCAGAAGTTCCTCATGGAGAACAGCTGGAATATCTTTCGGAAGGACCTGGTGCAGCTGCTGGTGGAGCCTCGCCGATGTCCACCATTCACCCCAATTCGGCACAAGAAGGAAGAGATCTACAACCCCAAGTCTCTGACACTGGATTTGTGTAGCTTCAATAAGAAGACTACACCTTACTCTCCCATTTTTATGGCACCCCAGAAAAATCTACCCCCCTTGAGGGTTGTCCAAGCCATCACAGAACCCTGGTACAAAATCCAGGAACTCCTGCCTCAGTACAAGAATGCAGGGGTCCTTGTTTAGACCCAATAAAGGATGTAGATTTGACCACTGTGCTTCCTGAATGGCCACCGTGGGAGTTGTAGGGCTTGGAATGGGGGATGCTGGGGCCTCAGCTGTGGGTCTGGACAGATGTTTAGGGGCAGCAACTGGGGCACTGTCTCCCCTGACACTTGTGGGGCTGAGTGAGTCAGGAAGCTGAGCATGGATGGGTTANAGACCAGGGATTGAGCCTGGCACCAAGGTATGTGCCCTTGACTGGGAATCGAACCTGCGACCCTTCAGTCTGCAGTCTGTAGGGGACAGGGAGGAGCTGGTGTGGGACCCTCAGCATCTGTGCCTTACCTTTAGCGATGACGATATGTGCCAGAAGTTCCTCATGGAGAACAGCTGGAATATCTTTCGGAAGGACCTGGTGCAGCTGCTGGTGGAGCCTCGCCGATGTCCACCATTCACCCCAATTCGGCACAAGAAGGAAGAGATCTACAACCCCAAGTCTCTGACACTGGATTTGTGTAGCTTCAATAAGAAGACTACACCTTACTCTCCCATTTTTATGGCACCCCAGAAAAATCTACCCCCCTTGAGGGTTGTCCAAGCCATCACAGAACCCTGGTACAAAATCCAGGAACTCCTGCCTCAGTACAAGAATGCAGGGGTCCTTGTTTAGACCCAATAAAGGATGTAGATTTGACCACTGTGCTTCCTGAATGGCCACCGTGGGAGTTGTAGGGCTTGGAATGGGGGATGCTGGGGCCTCAGCTGTGGGTCTGGACAGATGTTTAGGGGCAGCAACTGGGGCACTGTCTCCCCTGACACTTGTGGGGCTGAGTGAGTCAGGAAGCTGAGCATGGATGGGTTAATCACTGGGGATAGTGTCAGGGTGGGAGGGTCTTAGACAAGATGGATGGGAGGTAGAGAGGGGCTCACACTGAAGCGAACAAGACTGGGGTGGCAAATTCAGATGCCTTCCAAGGCCAGACAAGTCATCTAAAGGAGAGCAGCAGAAGGACTGGGGAGGCACGGATGGTGGGGACTGGTGCGCACATTCCCATCTAGATGGAGCAGCTGCTCTTTAGACCCAGGCAATTGATGCCGTGCCAGGGAATAAGTGCAGGCCTGGTACTGCTGGCCTATTTTTCAGGAGATCCAAGAAACCCGATATTTAAGAAGATTCCNGAGGCAGAGAGGGGCTCACACTGAAGTGAACAAGACTGGGGTTGCGAATTCAGATGCCTTCCAAGGCCAGACAAGTCATCTAAAGGAGAGCAGCAGAAGGACTAGGGAGGCACGGAATGGTGGGGACTGGTGCGCACATTCCCATCTAGATGGAGCAGCTGCTCCTTAGACCCAGGCAATTGATGCCATGCCAGGAAATAAGTGCAGGCCTGGTACTGCTGGCCTATTTTTCAAGAGATCCAAGAAACCCAATATTTAAGAAGATTCTTACTGGTTTTTAAATGTGAGCAAATAATTCAAATTGTTTTTGAAATACTGTTAAGCAAACAAAACACTTATGTGGGCTGTGTTGGGCCTACAGACTGCTATTTTGCCAGTGCTCATCAAGCACCTCTGTCAGGCTGACGGAACACCAGAGACTGTGTGCGGCATGACTGTGGGGGGAGGTATAAAAAGCCAGAGAGAGGCGGGCGGGCAGCATGGCAGGAGTGGCATCCTGGGTCACGGACGAGCAAGCCGCCCTGGCGAGGGGCAGGCCAGAGGTAGCGAGGCGGTCGGTTGCCCTTAAAGAGGGCTCCTCAGTCCCTCTGGGGATGGGGCCTGACTCCGCAGCCACCTGTCACTGGCCTGGGTTGGCACTACAGACCCAGCGCCCACTCACCCCTTTCCCTTGGGAAATCCCATAGTTTAGCTTTGACAGTGCCCGGGGCCTGGTGGAGGCCAGGACAGCACAAGGACCTTGCCTGGGCCACCAGGAGACAGATGAGCCTTCTCTGACCCTACGCACTTGAACACTCACCAAGCCCACCCCTGGCAAGGAGCGGAGTCAGGGACAGCTGAGTGCGGAGCTGGACATCGGAAGCTCTGGAGAACCTGGCTCTGTTTCCCTCTCACTGGACCCCTTGAGCACCTTGAGGCCTTTACCTGCACCCCAGCTTCCCCAGTGGCAAAATGAGCAAGTCGGACAAGATCAATGGTTTTCATGAATGAGGGGTGAGTATAGTTTGAAAAGCACGTTCAACATTATGCTTTTGTCTGTTGAATTTACAAGAAAACTGTTTATGTTGCACAGCAAAGGAGGAGTATGGGATTTTTCTACCAGAAGGCAGTATGGGTGGAAAAGGTAGAGGGACAGTGGGTTTAATCACCTCAACTTCCCTGATAGCTCCAGATGGTCAAGGAGCCTGAGACATCTGCGGGAGTCCTGGAAGGGCCGTCTGTGACCTACAGGGACGGGGTGGCACTGTTTGGGAACCAGGTAAGTTGGAGGGCGTGACTTCATTTGGGACCTCTTTGCGTGTAGGGATGCAAAGCTGACTGTGTGGCTGGGCTCCAAGACGACAGTGTGGACACCTTGTTCACTCATTTGAAATCTACTTATTAAGCACTTGCTCCATAGCAGATTCAAAGCAGGGCCAGAGGAGTCTCTCTTCCCTCTTATCCTCTAGGCCTGGGGTCAGCAAACCCTTTCTGTAAAAAGCCAAATAATCAATATTTTGTGTTTTGCCAGCCATGCAGTCTCTGTTGTAACTACTCAGTTTTGTATGGTGAAAACAGCTTGAGTGTTCCAATAAACTTTATTTACCAAAGCAGGTGGCAGGCCAGATTTGGCCATTGGGCCATAATTTGCTTACCCCTGCTCCAGGCAATAGCCCTTGAAGGTTCTTGAGCAGATATATGGGGAGAGAAACTTACTGAGCACTTACTCCATGAGAGCCATCTTGCTAAGCATCCGGCTGGAATCTGAATGACCTCTGGGCTAAGATCCCAGCTCTGCCACTTAACGGCGGCTGAGGATTAGAAGAGTTGGTACATGTACTGCAAGGTGGAGGATTGTACTCACCAAGACCCCTGGATCCCGCTTCCTGGAAAGTGAGAGAGAAAATTCCAGAACAGGAGGCAGATCATGTTTCCTGGGAGGGTGGTGGGTGACCAAACAGACTAGGACAACCTGGGGGTGAAGGTGCTGTGCAGGGGAGAGTGGGGCTGGGCTTCGGGAAGTCTCGAGGGGAACAGAGGAAGAGCAAAGCTTTTTCTGAAGCCACAACGTAACGGAAGGACCGGAGAGTGAGAAATGACTACAGAAGGTTTCAAAGAGCTTTTCTGTGCACTGAGAATGTGTTTCTCCTTTGGCATTTTCTTGAGAAACCAAGCAAGCATTTGAATAGCTCTTACGCAGGTTTCATGCAGTGCTGCCGTCTCTCACTTCAGTAATCAAGCAGAGAGGGGGCGGCATGAGGCCTCAGTTATATTTGGGTTACGCAGGTACGGTCCCTGGCACATAGGAGGTGCTCGGTACACGTTAGATGTTAGCGTCTTTTTGGCCGAGATGGATTTGGCCATAGGAGACTCTCTTCCCCTTTCAATGGAATAGGAAACCAGCCTTGGAAGGCTAAGCCTTTATCGTCAGTGACAAAGGCCATCCATCCCCAAGAGATTCGGGGCGAGATGGTCCTGGCTGTGATCTTGCCCAGCGCCCATCCTCTTCACTAAGTGACGTGGTTACCATCAACATCAAGGGCAGCCTTGGAGGAGGGAGCAGAGGCAGGCCACCCAAGCACTGGGTGAGGGCACTGTTACAAGGGTGGGTGGAACAGGGTGGGGAGGCTTGTGGTTCCAGGTGGTTCTCAAGGCTGCTCCCCTCCCCACGCACGCTGAGCGGTGAGGAGCAGGGATCAGAGTCAGGCGGGAGGGCAAATTGGGATGTGTTTGCTCATTCAGAAGGAGCAAATATGATGCCCCTTGGCACAAGTGTTAGCAACAAACTGTGTTTCAGTGCTACAGAGGCCTTCGCTGCCCACCTGGGCACAGGTCCAGGGGTCAGGAAGTCCACAGTGACCTGCCCTGAGGGAGAAGGGCCCGGGTCAGGTATCAAGTGCCCAGAATATGCCAGGCATTATGTGAGGCACTCAACAGAGGCCATCACTTACCCTGAAAGTATTCCCCGGCAACTAACTAGGTGGCATTATCTCCATCTGACAGATGAAGAGCCTGAAGCCCAGAGAGGCAAAAGCCTGCCTAAGCCCGCTGGGCAATCAGGTGGAGCACCGTTTCAGGAAATCCGTGCGCTTCCTGTCACCCCGGCGCCCTCCTCGGCTGTCAGCATAGGTACCGTTACAGCGAGTTACTCATCTACCCCACATGCGCCACCTGTTTTCAAAAAAGAAATTCTGCACATACATCCCGGGAACTGTGCTGGAGAGAAGGGTCACCCTCTGGAGTGACTCTCCATATGTAAATAAGCACAGTCATACTTGGAGAGGCACACCCAGGCCACGTGAGCCAAAATACAGCCCCAGCACTAACAGCTTCCACTGCTGGAGGAAAATGAAAAAACTCACTTGAAAAATAAACACGGGGGATGTTGCCAGTATCTGTTATAGGAAGTGTTTAAGATCCCATCTTGGGGTTGGAAGCAAAGCATTCTTTAAATCCTCTATTGCTTTTATCTAACTTGTGGAAAAATCTCACCTTCCACTTATGGGAAGCNTCTAGCTCGTGGAAAAATCTCACCTTCCACTTACGGGAAGTCTAAGGGGTGAGATGGGTCACTGCAATTCCCAGACGACCACCAGAGGCCATTTTGCTGTGACACTTTTCTGGTATTTGGGGATTTAAGGGGTTTAGCCACAAGGTTGCCGAGTTGCAGAATCCGTGATCACTNTTTGGGGATTTAAGGGGTTTAACCACAAGGGTACCGAGTTGCAGAATCTGTAATCACTGGTTCAGAGCCGACAGTGAGGTCTGGTAGTGTCTAGGTGCTGAGGAGCAGCAGAAAGCTGAAACGGGTTTTCCATGGCTGCTGAAGGCTATGGGCTACAGCCCCGGGGAGGGAGCTGGGCGCAGTGGGCAGCTGGCATGTTGGGATATGTGCNG